GGAGCCAATTTCCCAGCCAGCGGATTGTGGTGGACCCAAGGCCACAGTTGGCCCGTTTCGCCACGAGGTGATCATAGGGTACCAGACTGAAGGCTTTTTTGAAGTTAAGATATAAGATGTCAATATCTTCTCCCTTGTCCAGGTGATAGGTGACCTGGTCATAAAAGGAAATGAGATTGGTCAAGCAAGACCTACCTGCAACAAACCTGTGCTGGCTATCCCTCAGGATGTTGGTGTTGGCCAGTCCATTAAGGATGGCCTCTTTAATAAACTTTTCCCCAGGATACAGGTCAGGCTGATGGGCCTGTAGTTTGCCGGATCCACTGTCCTCCCTTTCTTGAAGATAGGCACCACATTAGCCTTCTTCCAGTCTTCGGGCACTACACCAGAGCACCCGGAGTTTTCAAAGATCCGTGCCAGGGTCTGGGCTATGATGCTCACCAGCTCCTTGAGTACCCTGAGGTGTAGACTGTCAGGGCCAGCTGACTTGAAGGTATCCAGCCTTTTAAGGTGTTCCTTCATGAGGTCAGCATTGATGGAGGGCAGGGGATCTGCCTCACCTGGACCTCCCTGTTCTGTAGTGGGCATGGGTGTCCCATGGGACTGATGAAAGACTGACGCAAAGTACCCATTTAATAGGTTGGCTTTTTCCTGGGTGTCAGTTGTCCCTTCTGGTTTAGCAGGGCTCCAGTGTTGCCCTTGCTCTTCCTCCGGCTCCCCACATATCTGAAAAAGGACTTTTTATTGTCCTTGATAGTCAAACTATTTGGAGTTCAGTTGCAGCCTTGGCTTTCCTGGTTTGCTCCCTGCAGGACTGAACCAGTGCAGAATATTCCTCCTTGGAGGTGAATCCCGTCCTCCATCCTTTGTAGACCTTTCTTTTTAGCCTCAGGAGGTCTGCTAGATCCCTGGAGAGCCAGGGGGGCTGCTGTGCCCTTTTGCTGCCTTTCCTCCGAGATGGAATAGAATTAGCTTGTGCGTTGAGGATCGTTCCCTTGAGGAGCAACCACTCATCTTGAACTCCCCTCCCCCTGGGTTTGTGGTGCCTTAGGGCCTCACTGACAAGCCTCCTGAGCTTGTCGAAGTCAGCTTTCCTGAAGTCAAGGACTTCAGTGTTGCTGACTGACTTGCCAGCTTTTTGGCGGATGGTGAAGGTGATCAGCTCATGGTCGCTGTCACTCAGCTTCCCATTGATCACTAGGTCGCTGATTAGGTCATCTCCAGTTGCCAGTACCAAGTCGAGCAGCGCTTTACGTCTCATTGGCCCGTAACATATGTATATTAAATATAAATATTCTAATAATGAAGCAGTGTTCTTCTCATTTTCGGGTTTTTTTGCAGGGTTTGCAACCTCTAACACAAGTTGTGCTCACGTTTTTTCTTTACTATTTGGTGAGATCACATTTTCAGACTAGACTACTGTAATTCACTCTGTGTAGGACTAAGTGGAACCACCATGAGAAACCCAAAGATCTCCTTCACGTAAAAGTCCACACACATTCTTTCTTATAGACATATCTCATGCCCTGTGCTTGACCAGAGACTTTCTGCCTTAGCGATATCCCTACAGCATGCCCTAATCCTTCTTCTCCCTTGTGTCTCTCTGCCGCAGATATAAAAGGGTGGTGCACACTTCCTGCTCAGTTTTTCTCAGCTCCTTGCTTAGTTGGAGTTTCATGTGTCTTTCTGGTTTTAGCCTCAAGTAGCACTCATCTTCTATCCACCCCTTCTTTTTTGAGCTTTCCTAGAACCTTTCCATCCCGGGAATGTGTACAAGGTTCCCCTTTTACCACCTTAGGGAGCCCAAAGACTCCATTGTGTCTTAAGACCTTTTTACTGGCTCCAGCTACCCCTCTCCCCTTCCTTTCTGCCAGAGGTGATGCCAATCTGTGGCCTCCTTGACATGTTTAGTGGTCTTTCTCCCTCTTACCTTGGGACAGACTAACTTTCTTCTATGAAAAATGGGGTCATAGACCAAGTCAAGACTAATAAGTGTCTCTTATTTTGCATCTGGGTGGGGTGGCTCAGCTGAGGTTCTTTCTAGATTTCTTTCATGATAATATAATTGTGCATGCATATATAATTCCTGCATTTCTGATCCTGCAAGTCTGTCTCAAGGTAAGACAGGACTGAGCTTAAGCATTACTAACAGCCCCGTACTATAGCCCCGAGTCAGGTTTTGCATCAAGGTCTTCTATCTCTATTGGTAAGAGATCCTGTGGTGTTGCCTTTGGTCTTAACCCTGTTAACACAGAGAAGAGGGAGCATTCTCCATCCAGAGCTCCGCCCCCTCCATCTCACAGCCTGGATTCTAGATGGGTCTCTTGGGTAGAATGAGGATTTTCAACCCAAGTCAGGGACATTCTAATCCACAACAGAAAGGTCTATAGCAGGCATACCTACTTAGTGAAGTGGACCAGGGTTTCATTCTAGTGCAGGCCAAGTCTACTGTACCAGGTCTACTAGACCAGTAGTTCTCAATCTTTTGATAGTTGAGGGACCCCTTGATAACTCTTGGAATTTAGTGACATCTCATTTAAAAGCTAAATTATTTTTTACAGTGCTTACCTTGCAAGAGGCAAGGATTTCTTCGAGTGATATCTTCTATTGGACCAGCTGTGTGGTTGGGATAAAGTTAGACACACTCTTCAAGGCAGGACACTCTTTGTCAGGTCTCTGATCACAGTGCTTACCTTCTCGCACTCCATTGCATCCTTAAAAGGATCTCATGGGGTGGCAGGGAGGGCAGCAGTGGGCAGGGCATGGCTGGCAGGGAGGAGTACATGGTGATCTGTATTGGCAGGAGCTGCTCTGCAGGGTAAATTGAGGAGCTTGGGAGTGGGTCCTTAAACCTCTGAAGGAGGCAACTGTCCCTGCATCCTTGCAGTGGGTGGAAGGGGGGTGACTGGCCACTGGAGGCACAGAGGCTGGTGCCAGGTGAGTATGGCGGGGGCAGGATCCTGCCATGCTCCACTCTTTCTGCTGTCCTCCCCATTCCCTGCCCCTGGTCTGTACCCGAGGGAGCAAGCAGAGCCCCTGCATCTACCACTGTTCCTCTGGGGACTTGAATGCCAGTGACCAGAACCACCATTCTCCCCCTCCCCCAGCCCCTTTCACCAGCTCCAAGAGCAGGGAAAAGAGCTCATCTGAGACGGCATGGCTCCACATGTGTACACCTGCCTGCCCACAGCTGAACATACCACTCGGAGTGTGGGAGCAATTGGTGTAGTGGCTGCTGGGGGACAGGGGGCTGTGCTTTTTGGCTCAGTTCATTCCCGTTCTTCCCCCTACCAATTTTCATGGGGCTGGTGGGAGGGGCAACAGAGACTGAAGAAGCCAGGGGTGTTGGTTGTCCATGGGATACTGGAGTGGGTGTCGGGTACCCGACCTATGGAGGAGCCAGTGCTTACCTCCTCACACAGGGGCTGGGAGCCACAGCACCCTTCAAAAGATCTCGCAGTACTCCAGTGTGTTGCAGCAGTACAACTGAGAATCACAGTATTGGACTATTAATTGATCTTGAAGCATCAGTCCCCCTTCCTTGATCTTGATTAAGTTTTACCTGGCAGCTATCTTGGTTTTCTTCCCTTTAGTCTCAATGGTCAGCATTTTTTTTTTCTCACTCAACAGACATTACATTTCTCAAGGGCTTCTCCAGAGGTCCTGCCCCCTCCCTCCCCACGCCCTCCCCACCCTCCCCCCTTGCAAGTTAGGGACCCTGAAACTGAGGAGGGCACCATTGATCCCATGGAAACCTGTGAAAAATGGGCTCCCCGGTAGTGGTTACACCGGCAAGAAGAATGGGTGAAATCCAAACTTTCTTAACAAATGCTGCTTTTATTTGATTGGATGTCCATGAGGACATGGTCAGAGTACCTGCCCAAAGTTGTTATTGACTTTCATTTGAGACAGCCGATCAGTTTGGCATTGTTCTACCTGAAACTCCGTTCCTCACGAACAGAAGGCAAAGACCTTGTATCTATTACCTTCATATGACCAAGGTGTTTAGAAGATCTCTGGGTTTTGGGGGTTTTTTTTGTTTTGGGGGGGGGTTTGTTTGTTTGTTTGTTTTTTCTACCAGACTCCAGGCTACTGCCATAGCACATCTACCTAATATCTCCATAAATGATAGCTGGATGGCAGGCATCTGGAGCTCCGTCTATACCTGCACAAAGCATTATGTTGTCATGGATTTATAAAGAGCTGATGCTCTGACTGGCAGAGCAGTCCTGAAATTACTGGTTGCTTAAAGGAGCTCTAAGATCCTCACCCATAATTGTAGGCACTGCTTTGGAGTCTCCCACGACTGAGAATGTGTAGGTGGACAATTTCTGAAAGGAGAAAGCCATTTACTATACCTGGAGTCCACTTGATGTAGACTCCACATGCATGTTTGAATTCTGTGCTTCTTCACCTCTTCCTTATAGGATTCTATGGCTGAGGGAAACTACTGAGGAGCAGGAAGTGTGCACCACCCTTTATCCCCTCAGCACAGGGGCATGAGGAGAGCCAGAGCTAGAATATGTTCTACAGATACCTCAGGGGGGGGAAAAATCTGTGGTCAAAGCATGGTACATGTGACACACCACCAATTAAAAATAGGTACATGTATAATGTACCTCAAAACTCTAGCTGCTGGAAACCAACTACATTTTGGTGCACAACACTGTAGGTCAAGTTATTTGACAAAAACTAAATGTAAGCATTTATGTTTTTTCTGAATTCCGCTAGCTCAATTACTTTCAATTCAGTGTTTTACTCCTAACTGATTATACTTAGCCTGGCTGTCTTTTGTTGTCTAGGATAGCTGTGCTGCACCTTCAATCAGTAATGGAGTATCTATTTTTTAAAAATAAATCTTATCATGCAAACAGATCTTGAATATGATAATAGGGAGAAAACACAGTTCTTTGCCTCAGAACGGTGTTTATTGCGACTGAATGATGTCTAAGTAAGCTAATGATTCTGGCTGCATGTCATGTAGAAGAGCACAGTTAATGAAGCCTGCATGTTTACTGGGAGTTGATTGCTCTTACTTTTCTTCTCCCCCACCCCCCATCCTTTTTTCTAGATTTAGTATTACATAAATTAACTTAACCTATTTAATAAACGTGTATTCTTTTTTATTTCCATGTTGTTGAGCAGGTCTATAAAGCACTACTTCCTAATGGACCAAGGAGATTTCTTTGTGCATTTCATGGATCTCACTGAAGAAGAACTTAAAAAGCCTGTAGATGATATTATACCTACTAGATTAGAAGCTTTGCTTGAATTAGCACTGAGAATGAGCACTGCCAACACAGACCCTTTTAAAGATGATTTAAAGGTGAGAAGCAGGGTAGGTTTGCACCATTATAGACTAATTAAATCAATTATATATACATATATCATGAGCTTTTGAGAGCTTGGCTCACTTCATCAGATGCTGTGAAAAGACATGCACAGAGCAGCTTATCAAATAGTCACTTGAATACAAAAACATGCAAGGGAGAGGGGAGTACTAGGAAAGGCAAACAAGTTCATTTTAAAGGTGAGAGTCAATATAAGCAGAAAGTAATCTGCAATTGAGGTATCTCAAATTTTAGAAAACCATATATCTTCAAGAGCAAAACAAAGAATTCTAGAACACAGAGATGACAGCCCCAAAACATATTTTCTGAGACAAACTATTTTCTACTGAGATTAAAGATGTACAGTAATGATGGAAGAGTCATGAAAATGGTATCCATCTGGGAGCTCCGGTCATCCAGGAACTTGGGTATAGCCATCCTCATCAAGCCATTTTGCTGGTTGCTGTATAAACATAGCAGTCCTACAAAATGGGTATTTCTGGATGTGTTCATAACTCTTTTAAGCCCACGGTTGAAAGCAGTATGACAGAATGTTTTAACTAAAAGCAAGGGCGACTGGTGTCTCCTGAGTCAGGGGCCAGTCAGCAAATGCAGGGGTCGTGGCTGATCTCACCAACCATGAGGGGAGGGGGGCATTCGTGAGCAGCTGATTGCACCGACCCGGAAGCGTGAGCAGGACATCCAGAAGTGCCAGCGGCACTTCTCCGGGTGCCCCCACTCCCCAGCCAGTGCTCCCACATGTCCCCCTGGCTGTCGCCTAAGTGGGGAGTGCTGACTGTCAGGGGGTGCACCAGCGCTCTCAGGAGGTGCATGTGCACCTCCTACGCATCGCCACTGACTAAGAGTTGGTTTCTGAATTTCAGTAGTATCTGTCTCTTAATTGATGATAATCAAGTTTATTATCCAAAGGTTGACCAGAAATGGGGCCCTGCTGTGCAGGCCACAGCAGAAACAGAGTAGCAGATGGTCCTTGCCCTGAAAAGCTCATAATGCAAATAAACCAGATAAACACAGGTTTGGGGAAAAGATGGAATACTACACAAGCAGAATCAGTGGCATGATGGGGGGGGGAAAAAAAACCTTGGACATCATGGAACTAACATTCACTTATCATTTTGTTAAAAAAATGTTGGCGTGAATGCCTTGAGAACCTCTCAAACATGCTTTTTTCATGTTTAGATGTCTGTAGTAATGGATTCAATGAGAGAGAGAGATCTTTACTGCCTTTTTTTAAAGCCCTTTTAAAGAGGCCAGTAGTTAATCTCTCTACAGAACATGAAAGTGACCCTTTTCTGTCTGCTCACTCAGACAAAGTCACTAGAACTGATGAGGATTAGCATCTGTATACTGGATACTGTACTAGATATTCATTGTTATTTGGGGCATTTATTTCTGTCAGGTCTTCAAATCCATAATAATTTGGGTATGGTATGCTTGGGCCAGCCCTGCCATATATGTCTGCAGCTAATCAGTGCTAGAAAGTGCACTGTATACAGTATCATTTTTCTGTTCTTTTTGCTTTACAGATTGACCTTATGCCCCATGACCTCATTACACAGCTCTTGCGAGTTCTGGCTATTGAAACTAAACAAGAAAAGTCTATTATCAATGCAGATCCCACAGAGCTCACTCTTAGTGGTCTGGAAGCTTTCTCTTTTGATTATATTGTCAAATGGCCTCTATCCCTCATTATAAACAGGTAAAGTATTAGTACTAGAAAGAAAAGGCTTAGCAACTTTTGCAAAGAATTTACAATGGTAGAGACCAACAGAACATCTGAATGCCTTGAATGTTAGTTACTGACATGCAGGGGTGGGAGGAGGGCAGTACTGAGATCATCTAGGTGTATTTGTTCTGCTCCTTAAATGCTCATACCAAACTTCAGTGTGGACTGTTGCCCAATTGGAAGTTAAATTACCATAATATCTGATGCACACTTAGAATTTCAAGCTTCTGTTCTAAGTTGTATAAAAATGTATAACATAGCTAGCCGTTAGTGTTGAAGTGATGGTTATACCCATGATAGTCCAGGAAATGATGTGAGACAAGAATTTTTGTGTTTGACATCTTTTATTGGACAAACTGCATGGTGTAAGGAGACTTAGAGAAGTTTTGTGGTATCACAGTACCTTTCTTTGAGTCTCTAGGAGAGAAGCACATATGGCCAAGCTAAGTATCAGGTAGAACAAAAGCTTGTGTAAAACTCCAAATGAATTATACATGTTGTCCCAGAACGTGCTATACCTCATCCAGTGCACACAATGCCCTTATTGAAACTATGTGGGTGAAACCAGACAAATTGTACACCAGAATGAATGATCACTAAAAAAGATAAAGGACAGAGACACCAGAGCACAGTTTAGAGAACACTTTTCACAGAAAAATCACTCCCTGTATGACCTCACTGTTCTTGTTCTCAAAGGAAATTTATAAAACACCTTCACAAGATAGTCCCGTGAACAAAAATTCATTAGCCTATTGGACACTAAGAACTATGGGTAATGATTTTGATCTGTTGTAATTTACTGGATGCTGGCTAATCTCTGCACTTTGCAAGTGATAATGACCGTCCTGTATGATCTTGTTCATCAAGTTTTTATTTCGTGTCTCTTGTCTTTTGGCTACTTGATATCATTTCTCTTGTATCCTGTTTTTATTCCCATGTGGAGTTTTATACAAGTTTGTGTTCCATCTGCTCTGTTCTGCTGTCTGCTCCTCTCCCAGAGACTTGAAGAAGGGTACTGTAATATCTGAAAGCTCATCTGAATCTATCCCAACCATACAGTTGGTCCAATAAAATATATCACCCACAAAAAATATTTTCTGTAACCTAGCTGGAACATTAATAACATCTTCCTTTGCTTTAAGCTTGTCTAAGCATTTTCAGTCTATCAGTCATCTAGTTGATACTTACTTAAAACAGCTTGAAGCATTTGCCTTTCAAGCTGAAATACTCTAGATCAGGTCTCTTCTACATGAATGCCACTTCTTGTTTGAAAGTCTGAGCAAATGAAACACCTTTTTTTAAATAAGAAAAACATTCTTCTCCTAGTATTAAAATGGAGGAGAACAGTTTGAAGAAGGATGTTCAAGTATCCTGGTAGAAATTGTTTTTTTTCATTCTGTCAAGTTTGAAAATTGCACTTGTTCACAGCAGTCTATCCCAGGTCTTCATCAGCAAATGTTAGCAATCCTGCACATGACAGGATAAACAGATGGGATTGCTGCTCTTTCAGCATCAGGGACTTAGATGAGATTACCCACTTAACAGTGATCCATTGTTAAATGACTGTTAGTTTTTTTTTTTCCCTTTACGCTGACCCTTGCTTCTTTAGAAATAAGTTTGTATAAAACATTTTATTCTCCTAAGCTTGATTTCTTTAACTATCGGTTATCCCTCAACTTACTTTTAGAAAGGAGACTAGATCCATGCTCCCAGGGTATATAGCATTGGACACTAGGGGTGCTTATACACAAGCATAAAGGCTACTCCAACACACAATGCATTGGAGCAGACTTGATTAATCAAGCCTGCTGGAGTATAGCCATTATCACATTCCAGCAGCTTCTTGTGTCTCATGTATCAGCGTTCCTGTGCTTAAAAATGGTGGTGGGGATGCTTGAACTAAAGCTTGTTGAATGAGCTTTAGTTCAAGGACCCCTGCCGCCATTCAGACGTGGGGATGCTGATACACAAGGTGGGATGGCGCTTTTAATTAGAGCGGCGCTCAGAACCGC